ATGCTGTGTGGCTAATTAGAGCAACTGATTCTATGTATTGCTCAGTATGCATTTGTTTCTGCTCTTCAGAAGAGAATGAAGTGAAATTTGGAGTAACTTTCTTGTTCAGCATTGTGAAACTGCTATAGTTTGCACAGGCTGTTGTAGTGATTTGACAATTTCTTCAGGTAACAGATGATGTAAGAATTTTTATCTCCAAGAGATTTGTATTCGACTGTGTTAGGTGCTGTTCTCTCTAAAAGATACTGAACAGCAGTGCCCAAAGTTTAGATTTCTAACTTTTATTTCAGTGCGTCGGTTTGTTGTAGTAGAGGTACAAGCATGTTGCCATAAAGATGTGACTTAAATTTTAAGGGAGGCTCACATTTTAAAAGCTCAACTTAAATTCTCTGTGCTAAAATAAAATTTGATGCTATGTATAAGGAATCTGTTTTCTCACAAAAAGCTTATAAAGCTTTTTCTCTTGAAAACTGGGTGTTTCATAAGGAAGTTCAATATAGTTACACTGTGTAATGTGTTCAAATAGCTGACAGAAATAAAATAGATTCTATCAGACCTAACAGGAATTGCTTACACATGATACATAATGAAATTTTATTCCCAATTACTGGGTGGGTGGAAGAACTACCAAAAAACTTATTTCAGCATTTTGTTAGTAATAAAGTAAATATTACTTGGGAAGCGTTTCTTATATGGAGGAAAAAAAAGCTTCAGAGCCTCTGCTCCTTGAAAGTTGTGTATTTAGCACTTGAAGCTAAGCTTCTGAAAGTTTAAGTGGACACTGGTGTAAGTTTTCTGACTTTCAGAAGTGGTGAGAGCTTTCATCTGCCCCTGAAAATCAGATTTTCCATGTTTAATTCCATATACTGTAGCACTGCTCGCTTGGGGCTTGAATTTGTGAGCATTGTGTTGCTGAGCAGCCTTGTGCCAGTGTACAATATATGCTGTGTAGGCATAGAGTGATAGTGTTGGGAAAGGTGTTCAGCAAAGAGAAACTATGCATTTACCAAAAAAGAAGTTTTTTTTAGTAATGCAGATTAAAATCAGTGTCTTGACCTTGAAGCCTTTTCCCTGTTTAGTTCTTGATAGTGAAATGATTAGTGTGCAATCTATGGTGCTGTCATCTCAGTGAGCAGCTGAGGTCCTGCAGCATTGTACGAGGCTGAAAGGCTCATACAGCCCTTTGCTGCCTTCGGACGTTCAGCATTCTTGCGAGAGATTCTCTTCGCTTGCTTTTAAAAAGCTCCGCTGGTGGCGGTTCCACAGCTTCTCTGGGCAGCCTGTTCCACTGTTTTCCTCTACTGTTAGAAAGTCATGGCATTTACCCACAGGTGTCTGTAACTTATATGTCTGAAGTAACAGCTGGATTTGAGAGAATTAGGCTTCCCAAGCTGCTGTGGATGGTATCTTGCCTGCACTGGCATCTGTTGTAAATGATATTACTTGATTATTTCTCCGTCCTTATTCGGTTACAAAGGCAAGTTACTGAATACCTGCTTGGGGCATACAGCAAAGCTGCACCAAGCCAGGTGGCTCAGGAGACCTAGAGTTTATGTACGCATGCATGGAATCTTTATTTCCATCATTAATAAGAAGGCTTCTGTGCCCTTGTGTTTCCGAAGGTCCATGGTATCCTCTGTTGCCATAGTTCCTGGAAGAGAACCATGGCCACAGAGCTTTGAGCAGAAAGCTGTCTTGTGCCTTCGGCGCTGCGTGGTGGTAAGGAATTGTTCAGGTAGTTGGCTGAAAGTAAGGTGGTGTGACATCAGAACTCTATGGGGTCAGTGTGATTGTTGTGCAGGGCTGAGCATGTCGCTTTTTTAAGGACACTTCTGATGTGAAATGAACTCAGCACTTCTGTTTTGCGTTTCTGAGACTGCCGGGCATAAAAATGCTTTTCTTTCAGCAACGTCGGGCTCAAAAAAGCTAGGGAAACAGGGAACTTTTTGTGACTGAACCTGTGCATGGCAGCATGAGGAAATGTGATGATAGAAGGGATGCAGCTACATGCTTGTAGGTGCATGTATGATTATGATTGATGCAACTACAAGAGCTTGATTTTTACAAGAACTACAGCTTCCTGGTAGTTTTTACATGCCCACTTAGAAACAAACCATGCAGAGATGTTCAGGATTGTGATGGATTTGGGGAAGGTCTTCAATATCTGAAGATACTTTCTGCAAACTAATCGTTTGGAACTTGCAAACTGTCACAGTCCCTTCATCAGTTTGGGGCAGACTATAAATAATTTATGTAGAATACCAAATCTATACATCCCAGATGTCAGCAAGCTTGACGTTGATGGATGCTGAACATATGTAATTCTCATTTATTGTGGGTGCTCCCTCTCGTTTTAAAAGATTACCTTACTGAATAGTGGTCACTGTTGGTTCACAATGTTCAGGATGTAATCTATTAGAGGTTGTAGGGGAGGGATATTGTGTCAGAGTGTAGGAGTTTTATTGCTTGGATTTTTTAAGGTGTTCATTTGGAAGTGGAGGACAATCTCTGAATAGCGGATAGACCATGTCAGGAGTGCTTTTGCAGCTGTCCTACTGGCTGAATGAAGTCTGGCTTTTCATAATTTCAAGGCTATGACATGTATCCAGTCCTAACAATCTGATGTGTTATCTGAATAAATGTATCAGTTTACAGGGTTTACTAATTTTTAATGATAAGCTTTAGAAAGACATGTTTTGTCTTTAAAATTACCATTTTCCCAATAACTTCTGAAACCATCTGCTGATTTCCTTTTGGTATGAAGCCTTTATGTCAGGCTTATTAAAACCACAAAATGTAAGTTCTTTTATGTCATATGCAATAGGGGGTGGAATGAGAGAGAGACAGTCTATTAAAGTATTTTCACATCACCTCCCTAAACTGAGATAAGAGCAACGAACAGCACAAGCTCATTCTACATTAGCTACTAGAAAAACTGCATCAGAGGAGAGGATGTTTTGAATGACTTAATTACAAGAGGAACTTTAAGCCTGAGAATGCAATTATGAAGCATGTCCATAGGAAACCTGAGCTCTTTAATTCTGCTTTCATGAAACTGTTGTTTAACCTTTTTTTTTTGGTAGGAAGACCTTCAGTGTGCAACTTAGTGTGTGCTTTTTACATTTGAGAAGATACCTCACGTAGTGTATCTTACTCTCTGTGGCTTTTCTTACAACCTAAAATTTCTGTTTATGGATCCTGTTCTGAAATTATTGAAATTATTATTAAGCTCTACATTATTGAAAGTTTTAGTATCAAAAGTTTGAAGTGAGCTCTAGGGACAGTCCACGAACGTCAAAGCAACATCCACAACGTGCCCGAGAGTTTCTGTGCAGCTAGTATCAGAGGGTCTGCTACCTGGAGCTTAGCTTGTACTTCTACCCTGTTGCCTGGTGCACAGCCTGCTGCCTGGTCTCTAGTTCTTCTTGGCCGACGGATTGAGTAAGTATCACAGAGGCAGTAGTTTGGATCTAGTTAGCGGTCCTGCAGGTCGCTTTGGTGATTGAGAGCTGTGGTTCCATACAGGTAATACTCGGCAGAGAGGCAGAATATCTGTACCCCCAGGAAATTATTTCCAAGGAGCATGCAGGTGTCTTGAAGAGACACTTCTCTAGACACACTTCAACTTCTAGTTAGAAATGTTAAATACGAGGTTTGTGGATGTTATTGCTCCCTCAGTGATTTCTTATTACTGTGGGATAATGTTGGTTTTGTACTTTCTTGCTGCTTTACAAATCTTGGGCAGCAATCAGTATGTGTGATGTGACTCTGGAACTACTGAGTCCAAATTATTTTTTCTTTAATGAATATTTAGGTTATGTGACACTAATGTTCTAAGCTTCTGGCATCTGTTACAGAAAGCTACCTACAAGAAATCAGGTTTTTTTCCAAGCTCTGATTTTGTGAATGTGTCAGGCAGAGATAAACAGACTCTAAGAGGACTGCTTTAGTAGTAATCAAGCCCATTTTTTTAAATATTAGAATTTTGTTCTAGGTGACTCATATTAAGAAAACTCAGTTCCTGCAGAATCAGATCGGTATTGAACAAACTAGCAGATTTGTACCACTTCTGTCAGATGGAATAACGCATAATATAAGAAAACACGCTGTAAAGGGTAACGCTTTTTAGATCTTTTTGGAAGATAAACGTAGCACATAAAAGAAAAAGCCAGTGGGTAAAATGAATCAGCTTACAAATAAGGAAAGATACTCGTTGCTACAAAGGCTATAGGAAAAAACTGATCGCCATATTGGAGTTACTTTTGTCTGTTGGCAATTCATGTAATAGTCAAAAACCAACACTGGCAAAAGGTCTCCCAGTTACTCCATTTGGAATTAAAAGCATACTTTAAGCTTCTGAGAGCAACATGTATCCAATACTTAGGCCTTGTCCTAGTGGAGTGGTTGAATTATTTGAGCTGCCATGGCTGCAAAATTGCACGTGTCCCTTTTCTTGCAGCTTGTTGGTATGTTAATGAATCGTTGGTTGTACAGATGCCCTCTGTGTCTCAAGAATGTCAACAGGTGATGTTTAATCATGAGATAACAGCCCATGCTTACACAGGTGTGACTCTCCTTTTCTTCTAATAAGCCTGAGATAAAAAGCAAGGTCCAATGTTGGTACTTCTGTAGGAAGATACTGCTTTTTAACCAACTTTTTCAGAATTTAAGGTTGTCCTTTGACCATAATCTCCTTTATTGAAATAAATATATCCAATTTATCTGGTGCAGCTGTTAAGCAGCGCTTGTCCCAGGGATTGGCTACTGTTGTGTCATTCCTCAATAATTCATAAATTACTGATTCTTTTTAAATGTTTCTCCTTTTTTTTTTTTTAAGGATTTTTTTGGTCCATAAGATTATATTTGAACATTTAAAAATCGTACATACAAACATCAGTAGCTTCTAGAACTATGGTTTGCACAAGTAGAAATATAATTCTGATCTATGAATCAGCATCGGTACACTTTTGCTAAATTCTCATTTAACTTTGTTAGGTACAAGAAAACTCACCAGGGCATAGAGCTGGATTGGAGCCATTCTTTGATTTCATCGTGTCCATTAATGGTTCAAGATTGGTGAGTGTGTTGTTATTTTATAACTCTTGACTATAAACAATGCGTTGAGAATCTTATTTTTGTAGGCAAACCAATGCATTTGTTTTATTTAAATGTATATAAAATGTTTTTCTGTAGTTTAAAATGAGAAAGCCTAACTGCATCAGAAATTAATTTCCTTCACCTCGTAGCTATAATTCTATCAAAAATTTAACTGAAGAATAAGGATGCAGACAGACAAGACATGCTCCCTGCAGACATCTGTGCCGGCAGAAGATAACACTACCTACTGATCCACCACTAGCTGCTTGTGTTCGTGCTCCCCTACTTCTGTCTGTAAAACTGCTTGTGTGAGAACTTGCAAACTCATTTCAGCAAAACAGATTGGTTGAAAGAGCTGTTGTTAGAGCTGTTAGCTGGGTAGGAATCATGGGAGGAAGTTTTCAAGCAGGGCTGTAGTGAGACAACAAACCATCAGAGCAGTGGAAAAGAACAGCTGTGGCTAAGTTCTTCCACCAGTATGGCTGGATTCAAGAAAGCCACTGAAAAGCTGCAGGGCGCGTTGTGTTGCAGGTTTAAAGTGCTTTCATGTTTGGAAAGCGTGACCTGGTGCTGTGAAATCCCAGGTTTTCGCTGGAGTTGTAGTCCAGAATTGTGAAGGGACTGGAAGCTTGTTATAAAATAGCTGTAGATACGTATTCTGATAATGTGTAATGTTCATAGGACCTTGGAAATACGAAAGTGGTGCTATAGAACTGGGTGCTTGCAGTGTTAAACACTAAACCAAGCTCTTGTTTGAACATTTGCAGAATAAAGACAATGACACTCTCAAGGACCTGTTGAAAGCAAACGTTGAAAAACCTGTAAAAATGCTAGTGTACAGTAGCAAAACACTGGAACTGAGAGAAACATCAGTGACTCCCAGCAACATGTGGGGTGGACAGGGTCTGCTGGGCGTGAGCATCCGTTTCTGCAGCTTTGATGGGGCCAATGAAAACGTATGGCATGTTTTGGTACGTACGGACTTCCAAGTATTTTGCTTACTGTTGCTTACTGTTAAACTTTTTTTACTGAAAAGTAACTTGCAAGGGGGTATAAAAGCCATGAGATCAAATTGATCTGTTTTCTCTTCATTGATTTTTGGATTTGGAAAGACTTTTGAACTAGAACTGTAAGTCTGTGAGCATATTATCAAATCTTGTATTTAAATCAGTGGTTTTGTACGAAACTCAGAGCTCCTTGTAATGATATCAAAAGAGACTGTCACCTAGCCACTGTCTCACTAGTTCAGTGACTGTTCTCTAATTGTGTTGAATACTTGACCAGTTTGACTCAAAACTTATGTGGAGTGCACATCTAACTGTTCTGCTGCACCCTGACAGTTATGTAATGTTTTGTAACTTTCCATCTTACAACTAGGAAGTGGAACCAAATTCTCCTGCTGCATTAGCTGGACTTAGACCTCATAGTGACTATATCATTGGAGCAGATACTGTCATGAATGAGGTAAGTATATAAGATTTTGATTTTTTTTTTTTTAAGCTAAAAAAAAAATTGTACCAGGGCAGTATGAAACATCCCCGATTCTGTCTCTGTTCAGTGCTAATGGAAGTAAGGTAACGCAAAGAGGAAGGCGTGATGCCTCTTCTTTGTGCTTAAATGCAGTTCTGGAAATAAAAACTGCTCTTAAATATCTTCATGAAGTCAGATAGAAACTTTTTTGTACTCTAATATTAATATTTCAAATAACAGATTTGAAGTCTGCATTGTGCCATGTGTCTTCTGAGTTGTGCTAGTAAAACATGTATTAAAGTTGGCCCTGTGATTAGAACAGCAGCACTGCAACATGTAGCAGTTACCAGGTTCTGTTACAGAAAGTTAGGACTAGGAAAAAGATGATTCTAGTATCAAATTGAAGTACAAGAAGGCCCTGATAAATTTTTATCCTTTTCCAGTCTGAAGATCTCTTTTCCCTTATTGAAACGCACGAAGCAAAGCCATTAAAACTTTATGTGTATAACACAGACACAGATAGTTGTCGGGAAGTGGTGATTACTCCAAATTCTGCGTGGGGTGGAGAAGGCAGGTAAGGAGACAATATGTTACAGGGAGATGGGACAACTTCCTTGTAGCACTATCTTAAAAGCTGCTTGCTTAAGTTTTCTGCGAAGACAGGAAAAGAATGTGGTTATATCCAAGGTGTTTCTGTTATAATAAATTACATATCTACTTGAAATTCAGATTTCATTACTAATGAGGGGGTGTATTTACACAGTAAATTAGCTAGTGCAAGAATGCACAAAGTGCAACAGTTGCTTTCTGCATTAGACTTCAAATAGTCATTAGGCTGTAGTATGAGGTATTAAAGTATTGTGCAGTAGCCAGAACAGAGGACTGCAAATAACAACTGCGAGTTGAATTCCAAGCTGTATACCTGATAGAGCTGCTTGGTTTAAATAACAAGGAAATTTATTTTGTGCTAAATGTTTACTGCTAAAACCTACAAAATTTTCTTAAAGTTTTCTCATATTACATCTCTGTAGAAAATAAGGCAGCATTTGGCAGGGGAGGGAAAAGTTGTACAGAACTTATCTTGAAACTTGTTGGCATCATAATTCTTTTATGCGTTGCTTGCTAGTTGTACAGTCACTTCACTGACTTTTGAATGTTCGTGTTTTAAAAGCCTAGGATGTGGCATTGGTTATGGATATTTGCATAGGATACCTACACGCCCATTTGAAGAGGGAAAGAAAATTTCTCTCCCAGGACAGTTGCCTAGTGCATCTCTCAGTCCCCTCAAAGATGGCTTCACAGAGGTAAATTGTAGTCACTTCTTTGGCTTGGTAAAAGTGGATTATGATGTTATATTGCTTTTCTGCTTCTCTTGGTTCTTGTGGAAACAAACCCTAATGATGTAACTTTTTTTTTCCTTTCGATAAGGTTCAGCTGTCATCAGTTAATCCCTCAGCCACATTACCGTCTGGGTCAGCAGGCCTTGAACAGAGTCTTTCAGGACTTTCTATTAGCTCACCCTCAACTACTGTCAGTAACGTTCTCAGTACAGGTTAGTATGGAAGTAACTAACTTCTGAAATGCATGGGGTTTCTGACTTTTTTGCATTCACAGATGTTTCTAGCACTTTAATAGAAGACAGAAGAGAACAAAATTTTCTCTTCCCTGAACTTTTCTTCTCAGCAAAGGCTAGAGCACTGTAATTGTGCCCTACTTGCTCACAAAATAATTGCAAACAACTTCTATCAGAAATACAATGTGTACTATTTAGAATACTGTTTTTCTTCATCAACATGTTATGGTTAGGGCAAATAGTAATTCTTCTGTGAGCAATTACTTACTTGTACTCCTTGAGGAATGGAGCTGAAGTGTTGTATGTTTAAAATTAATGTTGTTTTTCTGTGTATGCCACCAGGTGTTCCAACAGTTCCATTATTACCACCACAAGTTAGTCAGTCCCTTACCCCTGTGCCACCAGTTAACCCAGCAACTACATTACCGGGTGAGTAGGTAAAATTTCTTAAAACATTTCTGAAACAAAAGTCTTAAGGGAGCAAAGGAAAAGAGCTGTCTTTTCCACTGATTTTGGAGGGTGGGAGGGTGTAACTTCATATAACTTAGACATTTCATATTGAAGTTCCCTATACAACGTCTACAATTTTAAGAATTTTTTTTTTTTTAGAGTATGTGCACAGCATGTCTGTAGCACAGAGGACTGAGTTGGCAACAAGTTTATCATCATTTACCTTTTAGGGGCCACTGCACAATAGATGCAGCATTAAGGATTTCTCAGGAAGGTTTTAGCTTTGCTGTTTGCAACATTTCTTGAATTTATATATTGTTGCTTTCCATACATCATAAATTGTTTGTTGCGAAATAATTTTGCGCATAGCTTCACAAATTCCGTTTTGTCCTTCATACTCGGACGTCATGACAGAAGAAAGATCTGAGAAGGCATGTTTTGCCTATTTCTGCATTCCTTTCACCCATAAAACCTCCATTGTAGGAAACTGCTTTTTAATACTGGGCTTGATCATTCTTCCTAGTTGCAGTGTGTTGACCCTGACTGGACACCAGGTGTCCATCAAAGCCACTCTATCATTCCGCTCCTCAACTGGACAGGGATGAGGAAATATAATGAAAGGCTCATGGGTCGAGATGAGGACAGGGAGAGACCACTCAGTAATTCCTGTCACGGGCAAAACAGACTCAACTCGGGGAAATCGAGTAGGGTAATGAGAAGTAAAACCACATCTTAAAACACCTTCCTCCCACCCCTCCCTTCTGCCTGGGCTCAACTTTGCTCCTGAATTCTCTACATGCTCCCTGCCAGCAGTGCAGGAGGATGGGAATGGGAGTTGCGATCAGTTTGTCAGCCTCCAGCAGCTCACAGAGACCATTCTCTACGACTTCCTTCAGGCACAGGCATCTTTGCTGTAGTGTGGGGTTCTCCAAGAGCTGCGAGTGGATCTCTGCTCCACTGTTAATCTCCACGGGTGACAGGGGGGCTGCCTGCTGTCTCACCACAGGTTGCTGGGGAATCTCAGTTCCAGCACACCTCCTCCCGCTCCATCTTCACTGGCCTTGGTGTCTGCATAGTCGTTTCTCTCAGGTCTCAGTCCTCTCGATGAACCTCAACAGTCCTGGCAAGACAAACTCCTCCCAGCGGATGTGCTGGGAGTGGGACGCTTCGGAGCTCTCCAAGTCATACCGCTGCAGCCATCTCCAGTTGGGTAGCGACGGCCCAGCATGGGCAGCTGCAGGCCTGGGAGGCTGTGGGGCCAGCCCCCCGCCTCCCCACTCTCTTCAGTGTAGGTCCAGCCTCCCTTCGGGCTCCTTTGTCCCCATCTTAAATAGGGCATTTGCAGAGGCGCTGATTGGCTCAGCTCTGGCTTGTGGGGATAGGGAGGGTCTCACCTGTCTGACCAGTTTTGGAGCTGGGAAGGCTTTTCACAGCTACTTACAGGGGCCATTTCTGCAGCCCCTCCTGTAAACCTAGCACATTCCACTTGTCGCCTCTTCATTACAGTTACAACAATCACAGTTCCCTGGGATCATTCTGCTCTCCGGCACTGTGGAGTCCATGTTTTGCCTGTTGCCTATCCCAATCACTGTCCTTATCTCAAATTCCTCAGCCCCACCTTGGGTGCCAAAAAGGACTGTTGTGGTTTAGCCCAGCTGGTAGCTAAGCAACCATGCTGCTGCTCACTCACTCCTCCCCCTCAGGGGGGTGGGAGGAGAAAATCAGAAGAAAAAGAGTAAAACTTGTGGGTTGGGATAAGGATGATTTAATAGAACAGTGAAAAACAAGAAGAGAAAAGAGTAATAACGATAGTATTAATGAAAAGAGTAGTACAAAACGAGTGGTACAAATGCTACGCCGACGCAGAACCTGGAAGGCAGAACCCCCACACACCCACCCTGCTCGGGATCAGCGAAGATGTGTAAAAGCCCCTCCCTTGGCTAGCTCCCTTGATGATATACAGTCTCCGGGCATGACACCATATGGTATCAAATAGCCCTCTGACTAATTCCAGTCAGCTTCCCATGCTGTGCCCCCTCCCAGTTTTCCTCTTGAAGGTTAACTCTATCCCAGCCAAACCCAGGACACAGGGCAACCTTCTAGCAGAAGCCATCTCTGTAGTGCTCCCCCCGCACCTCCACTGCTACCAAAGTCTTGCCATGCAAGCGCAATACACTGGTATAAATAGAGAGCTAAGAAGATAGAACTAGATGTTTCAATTGCTCTTTCTGAATTATTTAGTGATTTAAACTGGTATAACAGGAGTAAGAGTCTGTCTACAAAGTGGTGTGTGTCACTTCCTGATAGTAATGAATGTTTCTATGAATAATGAACCATTCTATGATTTCAAGCACTAGTATTCCAGAATTCATAGAATCATAGAATATCAGTTTGGAAGGGACCTCAAGGATCATAGAATGGTTTGGGTTGAAAGGGACCTTAAAGATCATTTAGTTCCAACCCCCCTGCCATGGGCAGAGGCAGCTTCCACTAGACCAGGTTGCTTAAAGCCTCATCCAACCTGGCCTTGAACACTTCCAGGGATGGGGCAGCCACAACTGCTCTGAGCAACCTGTTCCAGTGCCTCACCACCCTCATTGTAAAAAATTTCTTCCTTACATCTAACCGAAATCTCCCCTCTTTCAATTTAAAGCCATTGCCCCTTGTCTATGACTACACGCCCTTGCAAAAAGTCCCTCTCCAGCTTTCCTGTAGGCCCCGTTTAGGTACTGGAAAGGCTCAGAGCCTTCTCTTCTCCAGGCTGAACAATTCAGCTTGTCTTCATAGGAGAGATGTTTCAGCCCTCTATCATCTCATTCAGCCTTTCATGGCAAAAGCATGGTCTAGACAAGATGGCCTAGTACCCTGTCCAGCTGAATTTTAAAAGTATCCAATGTGGGGGAATCAACCACTGCCCTGAGGACATTATTCCAATGACTGATTGTCCTCATTGTGAAACATTTTCCTCTTGTGTCCAACCAGATTCTCCCCACGTGACTCCTTGCAAAAAAGGAGTCCGCATCTTCTTTGTAGCCATCCTTTAAACACGGGAACATGGTGATAAGTTCTCCCCTAAGCCTTCTTTTCTCAAGGCTGATCAAATCCAGTTCTCTCAGCCTTGCCTCTTATGGCAGGCTTCCCAGTCCTTTGATCATCTTTGTGGCCCTTCTCTGGACTCTCTCCAGCCTGTCCACTTTTTTTTTTTATATAGCGGGGACCAAAACTGAACACAGTATTCCAGGTGTAGCCTGGCAAGTGCTGAGTAGAGTGGGATAATGACTTCTTTATCTCTGCTGGTGATGCCCTTGTTGATGCAACCCAGCATCCTGTTGACTTGCTTTGCCACAGCAGCACACTGTTCACTTGTATTGAGCTTCCTGTCCACCATGTAATTGGTGCGCTGGTACAGGACTCAGTTGTGCGTTCCAAAACGCTGAAGGAGTTGTATTTTGTGTTTTATATGTTATGAGACAAGTAGATAAAGATGTGTCCAAAAATCTTAAGTAATACTTGGAGGTATGCTCTCTAACATAGAAAAAATGTATTGTAGAGCTGAGTGTGTGCATACAAGGGCAGAGAACTTTAATCTTGTACTGCTTAGATAAAATAGCAAACTACTAAGAAGTTCAGCTTTTGTTAATGTCCTCTTCTTCCCCAGCTCCCTATCTACCCCTTCCCCAAAACTTGCAAATATGAGTTTTCCGTTCACCTTGTTCTCTGAATAGTATCATTGCTTTTTTGAAAGTCATTAGAATATTTCTTGGAATTTGCGTGACCATACTAGTGAAATTGTAAGTACTAAATGTACAGGAGGTTTAATATTTGAGTGAGTTTGTGTGAAGTTAAGTTTTTTCAGATTTTAAAAAAAGTTCAAACCCAAGTTGCTTGTAGCTGAGCTGTGAAAGCTCTTTGAGTCAGATTATGTCAGCCTTTGTGGCTAATGAATTCCCAGGTGGGTAAAGATGACTGTTTTTTAATCAAAATCTGTGTACAGTGGCCTTGCTTTAAGACTTTTCTCCTCTCTGTCTTATTACTGTAATGTCAACGGTTTATTTCAGAATTAGCCTTCTTCGAGGTAAAGGCAAAGTAGGAATAGAGCCCTTGCCCCAGAAACGCAGCTCTTCCAGGACAGGAAATTCAGGAGCGGAAGGATGTTCGGTTGCAAACACAATGATGGAAGGGCATGTGTTGTGTTCATCCGATGTTTCTCTTCTACTTTCAGTCTGTCCTGACTTCGGAAGTTACTTTGTCTTCCCGACTTTGGAAGTTACTTTGTCTTCCCTTTTCTATATATTTTTGTGTTTAACTCTAGTTATGAACTAAGTAGAAAAGACTAATAATATAGTAATCAATATTAGAGATCAGAAATACTGTGTATTTCATCCTGTTATTGTCTTCTGCCATTCAAATTAGGAACAGAGGGCTTCTAATGCAGTGCTGCAGTGAAATAACTGCCTTTATTAAAAGGTGAACTTGGAATGCAAACTTACTAATTCTTTGAAATAAGATACTACTTTCCTCAGAAAAATCCGAAAGGTCGGGATTATGTGTTTACTAGTCCGGACTTCCTGCAATAGGTACCTGTTTTCACTATGCAACTTAAAAGCTGAGACTCAGGTGAATTTGCATTCTTACATGTAAAAATGGTAATAAATATGTAAAGCAATATAAAATAACTTTAAATAAGATCGGTAAGGTCTCACAAACAGTTAGAAAAAAAAACAATTTTAAGTTTTCAGCTGTAACTTTTCCACTCTTCTTTTAGGTCTGATGCCATTACCAGCAGGGCTCCCCAACCTGCCTGATCTGTCCAAACTTAATTTACCTGCACCACACATTGTTCCGGAAATCATACAGCCTGGTATGTGTTTTTGCAAACTGAAACACTGTAGTAGTGGGTCTCTCCTTGGTGATCCTTGGCGCTGTCGTTTAGAGCCATCTGGTGGAGTTCTGAAGAGGATCAGTTGAATGTTTGCCTGAGATGCGAGTTGACAGTAGCACCCAGATTAGGTGGACAAGGGACACGTCTTTAAGTAATTCTAAACCTGTGTCTGTATTTAGTTGTTTCATCTTGTACTACCTGATTCATGATCTCAAAAGAGATTGTGCCAAGAATTAAAATGTATAGTTTTATGGGTAGAAGAATATATGAGGTGTTTCCTTGTGTGTAAGGTGAAGAGATCGAAGGAGCCTGATTGAATGCCAAAAGTACAAACTAATACTAGAGTTATGATTTTTGAATAAAACAAAACTGCCTAAGGTGCACATGGAGCAAGCAAAAAGAAATTGGAAGCTTACATGGAATAAGGTTCTTGTTGACTTGTTGCTTCTGTCAGTTTCAATGAATACCAGAAAAATGCAATCATGAGTACTTACGGATTAAATACCTAGTCCTCTGGGGAGGTAGAAGCAAACTTGAGTTTATTCTGATTCTTCAGTTCAGAAATCTGAAAAGTATCAGGCTTGAAACTAGGCCACTGAGTCAGTTCTGCACGTATATCGTGCTCACACTAAGTTCAGAAAGCTTCCTCCTCTCCAAGAGTAAATAGACGATTAGAGAAGGTCAACATGGTAAGCAGAGAATCCCTCCAGATCCGTCTGTGGTGTGCAGCGGCTCACTGCCCCTTTTTTTTTTCTCCTTAGGTTTGCCATCCCTTCCCTCATTGCCGCCTCTGAATCTAATGGGAATAACACCTCTGTCAATGCCACCCAAATGCGTTCCTCTGCTTCCTTTGGTCACAGAGGCATCTACGGTGCCTACAGATTTGCTTCCATCCATTACTCAAGCCGGAAGCTTTTCCGTCGACCCTGGCACTACTGTAAATGTAGAACAGACCTCTACACTCACCTTGGATAGTGCTGCCCCAGCTTCTAAGGCAACTATTGTTGACGGATCAAGTGAATCCTCTACAGTTAATGAGAAAGCGTCTGGAGTCACAGATACACAAGCTTCTGAATCATAACTCCAGATCACTCTGTTGGATTGGCTTGGTATTTATTTAGCCATGGGATACATATTTGAAGAGCAAGCTATCATTAATTTCATACTAGTTTGTACTTAATCTTTAGGAGTCCTGTAAATAATATCGAGGTATAATAAAAATAAAAGGGGGTTTATAAAATGTGTGTGGTGGGAGGGGAGGAAGAGTACTTGTATGTAACCAAAAAAAAAAGTCAAGGTGGTAAATAGAATTCCACTGCCAAACTTGGAGGTATATGTTTTTAATGTAGGCTGACAGCCTTAGCCTGCTAGGCCTGTCCTTGTTTATAATTAGCAGTTATTGCTTCTGATAGAAATGAAGCGGTTCTTGCGTGTGACATTTACGTACCATAGTTCTTGTTCTTTGCAAGTATCTTGTTACTACAGTGGGGATGAGAACGTTTAGTCTGAGTTGTAAATTTTAACACTGCAAAATTTCCACCTGAAGATATTTCTGTTAAAGTTGCTGAGTGACCTGTTAACTGACACCTCGTTATTCAGCTTGTACACAAATCTTTATTTTTAAGCTCTTGAGAGATGCCTAAGCCATGTTTTGTGACTGCTGCTGCGTTGTTTCGTACGCCCACTGTAAAATGGCATTTGGAAGGGAATACAGGAAATGTTAAATGTAGCACACAATTTGGCACTTCATGACTACTGTAAGACAAATTAATGGATTAAGCATACATACAGCAATAAATTCCTGGAATTTTATCCTTTGTGTGACAACAGAGCAAATTTATTTGTTTAGTGCTTAAATTCTCATTTAACTGCTTTTAGCTCAGCTCTCTCTAGCACAGATCCATGAGAGGCCTCCCCTCCAGAGGAATGGATCCAAGAGGGAATGACGGACTTCTTAATGGCAGGCAGGATCAGCACTGGCAGTTAGATCTGTTGCAGCAATGAGTCATAAAATCTGCCTGCATATGATTCATCCTTGGCTTTTAAAATTGATATTCAGGATGAAAACTGTAGATTATACACTTGTATAAACTGGTGTGTGCGCTGTACTCCAGGTGATAGCCTTCACTCCTGGTATCAGGTACAGTTGGTGTGGAAAACTCCTCTAAACTACTGCAGTCTATCTGTACTCCTGGGATTTCATTTGTATGTGTTTTCTACAAGCATATGCAAACTTTAGCCATATCATCAGCAGGCTGGAGCTAAAGTCAGTCTCAACAGCTGCATAATCCCTTTTGGCAACATAGTGTACCTCATCACTGTTTGGAATAGTAGTTGGATCTAACTGCTGGTCATAATGTCTCAAAGACATAGTTCAAGTGGAAGCCTTATTGAATACCCGTTGTCCTGTCTCATCTTTATCACTTAAGTATTTGTCTTCTGCCTCACTAATGCACATTTCCTCATCACCTGTTGTGTCAAAAGCCTGTCTCAAAGACAGACCCCAAGTACGTTTTTTCACCCTGAGTGGTTTCTTTTCTCAGCTGCTTGGAGTGTGGAATCCCTCTGCCTTGTTAAGTAGGGGGCTTAGTGTTTCTCAGAATGTATTTTTTATTTACCGTTGTAAATCCAATGTCACATACCTCAGAATTAAACCTTGGCATGAGAAGAAAGATGTTCCCTCTTTTCTTTGCTGTATTACAGAGGAAGTCTGTTAACTTTGAGTTTCATAAAGCCTCACAGGTCTAAGAGTCTTTCCTGTAACTTCTGTACATGCTTCCACAGCTGGACTCCTCCTCATTATTATTTTCCTTACTGAATGTGAGAATGGCAGAAATAGAAGTTTTGTCACATACCAGACTTAGAGCACTTGCTGATTTAATCAGATGCATTGAGCTAGAATCTTCTGGTATTTTTTGTGGTGTTTTTTTTTTGTTGTTGTTGTTCTTACAGTATGGCACAGTGTCCTTTGGAGTAACATCTGAAGTTAGCTGGCATGTCTATGCTTTCCAGCAGCAAGCTGCAAACTTTTGTAGCTGTTGTGCAGTTGTCTCTAGTAGTGGACAAAATGAGATGCGTAGTCTGAAGTCATGCACTTCTGGTAGCTATTTTAAGGTCCCTCGTTGCTGACTTTATAGATCCAGCCTTTTGATAGGTATGGGAGCAGTGGAAGTTAGGCAGTGCTTAAGTGTAACCATCAGCAATTCTGCTACAGATAACGACTCCAAATTTGGAGATGATTCAGTGGTGCAGAATGTAAGTTGTAATACCTCAGCTAAAAAGTTATAAACGTTGAGAAGCCAAAAACTTCCCACTTAAAATAGAGGGAAGGCCTTTAAAGTTGTACTATTGCACTCTGTCCCTGTTTTTTAATCTCCTCAACTAGATTTAATGAAGTTGTCCCTTAATCGCTTCTGGCAAGGGTCTCTTAATGGCTTATTTTTCCCCCAAAAAGAGAGTGAGGAGGGATAAGGACTTAAGACACAGGAAGGGACTGACAGCCAGTGTAAGTTTGTTTCCATGAGTTCATATCTTCAGCTGTTACTGAACAGTTACAAATAGGCATATTGGCTTTATTTAAACCATGGACCCATAGAGTTCTTCAGCAGGTACTGGCAGCAGACAAGGAGACAGATGTACCATGAACATCCCCGGCCTTGGATATAATTAAGCACGATTACCATGTGTGTGCCTTACTGTAAAAGGAATAAGGTGTTTTCCTGCTGCACCGAAGGCTGCTCCGGGGGCAGTGGTGGCCAGGAGTACGTGTGTTCGTTGTGAGCGCAGGGCTGTCCCGCAGCTCTGCCCAAGAAAGCGTGAGCCCCGCCGGAGCGGTGCGTCCTGCAGCTTCGGGCTCTGCTGCTGCGCCAGGAAACAGCTGCTCGGGCTGCGAGGGCGAGGCAGGAGTGTGGGCAAAGCGTTGGCGGTGGGTGTTTCAGAGCTCCGGTGCGGCCAGACAGCGGGCTGGTCCCGAGCCCCCGACAGCCATCTTCT